CCAACCTCTTATAAATAATAATTTAGTCAACAGTATTGTCAGAGTTGCCTTGTTACATATTAATATATTAATGTTTTGAAAAAGAACATTGAATGTGAATTTCCATATAATATATACCACAATAATGTTTAACATTATGTCTGATTTATAATTCAAAAAATAAAATTATTTTTTTATCATTTATGTAAATTAAATCCATATATAGAAAGATCTGTTCACTACCCGGTTGACCTGTTGGGTAAACCCGCGGGTCACTCGGGTGAAGTTTTTTTAGACGGGTCCAATCTCTAAGTTATATAAACCCTGATACTTTGCAAGTTATCTATATCTTGCTGATTTACCTTTTCTATGGCAATTGTGGTTGATTTAATTTTATGGATTTCTGGGAAATTCCTCAAGAGATTTATGTTTAAATCCCTTAGCTTCTTTGGTTAGAATATTTGTTAATCTTCCAACCTGCTCCAAAAGATTCTATTGAACGAAAATGATAAACAACTATAATTAATTTATCAGGGCTTATATACAAATTTAAATCAAAAAAAAACATACACCATAAATTAAAAATGCTTTACAAAGTAAAACAACTTCTCTAACACTTTCATCTTTTTCTGGAAATGTATCAGAGGCCCAATCCCATATTCCATATAAATCTCTGTTTATTTGAAAAAGGAGGTAGAATCTAATTTTCATTCCAATAATCTGATAGAATGGTATGAAGATGGACATCATTCCTTTCTGTAAACTCTCAGGAAGAGGGTTTTTCCACTTTGTTCTATTAAATGATTTTCAAGTTTTTTGTGCTGTGATTTTGCAACTTTAATTATTTCAATAAAATTTGAGATTGATTTATCATGATTATCTTTATGTGTTGGTCTGGTATTTTCTCTGATACGTGATTCATGAGATGAACTCTACATATAAAGATCTATGTTAGAATTAATTTATTGATTTTTCCAGAACAGAATGGTACATACCAAATATAAAAAGTCACATGCTTTGCCAACACGACTAGTCCCAGAACATTCCATTTTGTCTTCACGATCAGCATCAGATTGATTTTCACCACTTAAAGAACAGAAAAAAAAATTTTAATATTAAACAAAAAATATGACCAAATCCTTACTATAAAAAAATAGTGCAAGGAGTTTTTGCATAAGGTCCAACAATAAACATATCCATGGTTTGTTCAGATTGACTTTTTCCAGAAAAGTGACTGATCCACTCATCACTATCATAACAAGGGATTTAGATTATACTAAATATAATAACCTATAACATGTAAGAACTCACATGTCCTCAATACATTTGCCCACATAAATAGTAACATAATCTTCAGCATCTATATTCACAAGATAATCTTGAATGATTTTTTTATCATCATTCTATTGCAAAATAAGAATTTCTCAGTCTAAAGATATTAAATCATATTATATATAAATAATTTAATTTACCTGCATTTTCTCAGCAGATGCTTGTAGAAGATTACATAATCCAGCAATCCCACATGCTCCGTGCTTCTTAGCAAGAAGTCAAATACTGGTGAAATCTGATAATAATAACACTTTAACAGTCAAACAATATGTCACAGGAGGTGTAATTACATATATATAATAGAAAATCTGACTCGTGTAACAAATCAGTTTTTTAAAATATCTCATTATTTTTATAACAAATTCAAACATCATTATTAATCAAAGATAAAACTATGAAGTTATAGCTTTCTAATGAGCCTTCTCCCATAATTATAGAGGCTCTCTATGTCAAGCTATATTTATTCAAAAACAGCATTACTTTTTACTTCAAAGCTAAGATTTTTTTACCAATATTACCTTT